TCTCTTGATTTATAAATAAATTCTCGATTACTTATCAAAAAAAAAAGTATCATCAATACAGGTATATTGGTAAACTTCCTTCTTCCATTACATAATGTTTTATTTATTGAAGAGTTTAAATATACTATGCTAGAAACATCAAGTTATATGACTAATATTTCAAACTGAAATTCATAAAGATATGTAGTAGATTGAAAAGGAAGAAAAAATTGTGTTTAAAGCACTTGTATCAAAATATTTTATACACCCTGAACAATAATTTTTCCAATCCACTATGCTAAGATGCTAATTATACAACTAGGACGTAAAAATTACCGTTACCAACTGATGCGTTATGCCACATCACCGGTGTGAAGAATTGTCAGAACAGTTACATAAGGGAAAAAGACTCAAATAAGCACCATCTCATTGTCTTCCTTACCAACTTCTTCAATACCTACCACAAGAACCCTACTACTAAAAATACTACCACCATCAATCTTCAGCGAAATCAATACTTTTATTCAAGTCAGAAGGCCAGTTACACCACCAAATAATCAACTTCCATAAACCAGAAACCCAACACCATCGATATCACCACAACCACACAAACTGAAAACCTACAACACCACACTATCCCAAAGTCAAAATTTAAAACTACATTCAGATGTGATATAGGATTTCTACTTCTACAAATTAGATCCATTAAAACTTTGATCTTATATCTAGTGGTGAATAATGACGTTGCTTCATAGCATTCATCCAATCAGAGGCTGGTAATAATTATGGTGGTAGAATCATGCTGATTAGAAGTGAGGTGATGCGTAATCTTCAGTGAGGGAATTAGTGAATCTGGCGGGGGTAGGGCTCTGTTTATACGTTGTTGGTGACAAACTGAGCAACTAGCGGACATGATGGGGGGTGGTGTCCTGACTACTTTCTGAAGGCATTTGTGGGAGTGGGTTTTAGAGCGGAATTTGGCTTGAACATTAAAGAACAGTGATGGTTTAATCATTTTAATATCTCAATTAATCATAATCACTTCTTAAGTTGGTGCTAATTCTGAAATTTCCATTGCACACAAAAAGGAAACCAAAATGTTTGGTTCAGCTTGTTTGCCATTTATATGACAATAAAATATGAATCTACTCAGGGCTCAGCATGAATGAAGATCTACAAACAACAGAGACTTATTAGCATATGAAGATATTGAAACAACAGATACACGCTTCCATTCCCCCACAGAAACTTATTAGCATATGAAGATATTGAAATTAAATTATCATTTTTTAACCTAAATAAATAATTCCAGTTTTATTGTTTAATTAAAATGTGATCCCAGATTCTCCTCAATGCATCCTTGTACGTAAGTTAGAAGAAACCCACGATTGCTATATTACGGCCGGGGGGGGGAGGGGGGGTGGGGTGAGGAAAGGAAAAATGAATACTCACTTTTTTGTTCAGTTAATTCATAAGCCATCTTGCCGATCCCTTAATTCCTTCGCTAACCAAATCGAAAAGGGCTTCCCAAACTGCAATAATCATCGAGTAAATGTTAAAAATTTCAATTGCATAATCAATTTTAAGAGAAATACCTAGAGAGAGAGAGAGACGCCACCGGAATTGTGCTTTATATCTTATGTCAGATTTTGAACCTTGTCCGACTTTATACTTCCTTCGATTTGTTCGATTTACATTCCCCAATTTCTTTTTTATTCTTTTGTTTTTTGCTTTTTTGGCATTTTTGTACTTAATAGGTGTGTTTAAGCAATCAAGCCAATTTTATCTAGGGTCGTTTGGCATTGATATTTGTTTTTGCATTTAGCCCTCGTTAAATTTATAATATATTTTTCTCTCTTCTTTTTAATCACATAATCTCCAATAAAATAATATTACATATAAATCAAAATTTTTCTTTCTTTCTCAACCACGCATTCCAAATAAAAAACATACTATCAAAAAATTAGAACGTCAAATAATGGGGGCCAAACGGG